GGGATCTCACTGCTCAAGATTTTGCTGCTGAATCTTAATCGCAGACCAGTTGCATCTTCGAGTGAGTTTGCAACTGGTAAATCCACAGATACAAGGTGTAGATTTGAGTTGCTAAGCACCTTTAGTGTTATACTCTCGCAGATGCTAAGAAATTTGTCTTTCCCATTCTCCGTTCTTGAATCTTTAACATGATCGTCAAAAGTACACCTACCAAAAGTGAAGAGAACCACCCAGGTTAGGAAATCAGTAAGTGAAGTGAACATGATCTTTCTGAAAACCTTTTGTGCAGAAAGTAAAAGTCAAAGTTTCTTATGCATCAACCTCAAGTTTAAGTAGAGAAAGCAGCTAACCTTCGACTATACTCAAACATTCCAGGTAATCGAGATTCTGTAGCTAAGAATTCCTCGATGCTCATTGAAAATGGTTTCACAAGGTATCCAAGATCAGGTCGTAACTTGACAGGAACTTTCTTTTCATTGTAATGTAAGGTTAACCTCATGGGAAGCAGGTGGTGATGAAACCGAACCTGGATAAGCCTCTTTGTGCTCTGATGTGGTTCAAGGCAGCTAATTTCCTCCATTGGAATTAGGGTTGGTATATTGTTGTAAGATGCACTGCAGGGTTTTCAAAAAAAAAAAAAAATTGAGAATAATCCGAGAAAATTGAAGATAATGGTTTTCTACCAAAACTAATTGCTTGGAGGATTAAGGATGTAGTTAGGCACTATCATATTGGGTAAGTGATAGATGGATTAGGCAAAAAGAGGGTTCTCTAAATCAAATACGTATAAAGGAATCAAACTCACTTTGCTTTACCAACCAATGTCTGTTCAGAAGAGTCTGCTACCTTCATTGATTCTTCATCTTCCAAATTCACCTCCAGGATAGGTTCAGCAGAACTGTTCTCAAACAGAACTTCTACGCAAACATGTAATGGAGATACATTAGAGACTTCAGATAAAAAGGCATAGTCTACCTTCAAGCCACTGCCATTTCCAGGGTCTACGAGACTATAGCTTTTAGGCTTAACTCGGCTTCCTACATCACCAATGGATATCTTCGCATAAGAGCTCTGATTACTATTTAATGCAGATGGAGTTTGGTTTGATGTACTAGGCTGATCATCTAACCACAAATCCAGGGCTCTTCTGGACCTTAGTTCTTCCTGGTCAGCGGAAACAGAAGTCTCTGAAATTTGAATTAAAGGAGCAGCTGGGTCATTGGCGTCATTAGACACTGTTCTTTCATCACCTTCACTGCTAAAATCCGAACCATTAGAAGATTCAGAGTCATAATCAGAGGAGCCATTCTCATCCCCTGTTTCAGAGGATTCCTCAGAACCATCTAAATCAGCTGCGGCCTCTCTTTGTTTATCTAAATCTGACAGCTGGTCCTGTTCTTCATACACAAAACTGCAGGGCTTTGGAAGAGGTTCATATCCAGGGGCTGCATGAAGAACTATCTGTGACAGAGATCCAGGAAGATAAAAACGATTGTGCAGGGTTATAGGTGAAACAGATTTCAGTTTTCTTCCAAAGACATGTTCCACAACATGCGCAGCAATATTTTCTTGTGATGCAACACTGTCTTCTGCCGGCTCATGACTAGCTAATTTGCATGACAGCAGTTTCTTCAGGAAACGAGTTCGATCACGAATATCATAGCTTAAGTCATATTCGCCCAATTCAAACACATAGACCACAATCCTTTTCAACATATGAAAGTCACCAGCCTCTGCACTTATTAGAACCTACAATTACAGTGATAATTTGATCAATATCTTCTGACTGTAGTGAGACGTGCCACAGTAAACGTACTCACTAGCATGAAAAGTAAAGATTTTCATAGCATGCCTAAGAGATTTCAAAGGACAGACAAATCATAGGACGAAATGTTATCATTAGTGAAGAAATGGAACTGACTATTTCAGAGAGAAGAAATGATAAATTTGTTCAAGTAACAGAAATGGAAATGTCCTTTCTCATTTAACCATATAGCCTTTCTTTCAAAGGGGTTGATGAAGAAATATTATATTATTGAACTCAGAATAAGAAGTATTGAGGCAACGCCCCAAGCTATATACCTTAGCAATAGTATTAAGAATCTGTAGTTTTGTCTCTGATGCCTCTGATTTAAAGCTCCATGCAAGGTACTTGGTTATTGTGGTCAGCATCCTAGGAATGATATGACCCAAAGAGCAGTAGACCCCCACCATCCAAATAATAGTTGCACGAGCAGCAGCTACCTTGATTGAATCCAGACTACGAAACAGCTGAATTAACACCTTCAAGCAACCAAAATGAACAAGAAAAAAAAAATCAATACATTATTGAAAATAGATGTACAAAAGGAGTTATTTGAGATCATTGCAGCAGGTTCCAAGCATGTTTTTAAGAAATGGTACGAATTAGATGTGCAGTCAGTGGATGATATGTGTGTACTTTCTCATGACGAAGGGGGTCTCGCTCTATCATAGTCTGAATTGACATCACGGCTTGCACCAATACTCCAGCTTCTCCATCCGCTGACTCAAAATCGCCAGCAAAAGATTCTGCAACATTGTGAGAGCTACTTAAACTGAACTGCCAAATAGGTTAACTAATGAATGCAATTAAAATAAAGCATAACTGACCCTGTCGAACTAGTGCTAACAATCCATCAAGACATGTAGTTGGAATTGTCATCAGTCTTTTTGCGCACAAACCAATTGCTGCAACTGTATCAGCCGCAAATCTCCTGTCTGGATCTTTAATATAATCCTGGAAAAAACTTAAAGAATCAGTCATGCACACATCATTTTGGCCAGAAACTACAGTACAGGGACAAAGATGACGATCCTTATGTAACAACACTTTAAGAAGTGCTTATTTATATCATACTGGAAAGTCAAATGATCATACAAACTTTCCAGAATGAACCAAAAAACTTCTATAATCGATTTGACAGATAAAGTAGAGTACCTCAAACTCTCTCAAAATTGAAGCGATAGATGAAGTGGTAGCAATGAGAGAAAGCATTTCCAGCTTGTATGCTTTCACTTGATATGCATCTGAGGAACAAATAAAGAAATTTTCGAAGTGTGGAGCAAAGAGAGAAGGGACTGCTTTGGCAAAAACTAGGATATTGCAGAGGACCTGCCACAAATATGAATAAAGCGATGTTCAGAGAGCACATTTCGTCAAGACTACACAGCATGTGTGGATTGGACTAAACATTGGTGGGGGAATAATAGAATGTTACCACATATTTGGAGGCGCTAGATGACCTAAGCAAAAACAAGAGCGGTTTAACAATTTTCTTAACATCTTCCAGAGGCGCCATTATCCATTGAACGCCAGCTGCTGCTAGTACAACCGCACTGTTATTACTCCATAACAATGGAGATGTACACTGAAGCAGGATCTTAACATCTTCATTATGTGCAATAGATGTGGTCTCTTTGGTATCGAAAGCAGATGACACTGTATCGGTGCAACTGGATCTTGATAGATACTCATCTGGACCTTGAATGTAACATTTAGATACAAGACTGACCAGATTAACATCAAATGAATCACTTTTACCACCATCTTCTTTATCCAATGTAAGATCTCTGCCTAGGCCATCCTTCTCACAGAAGCCATTACTATTCGTACCATGTATGGACAACATCAAAGATTCCCGTACAAGTCCATGCCTAGCAACCACATAGCGCAAAAGAGTTCCTATGAGTAATATCTGACCCCACTCTTCAACGTCAGGGAGAATCTGGCACAACTTCTTATAGTTCTTCCCAATCAGTTTGAAGTTATTTGGACAGATAGAGGTGAATGCCGCTGCCGCAGCTCCAACTACTCCTGGAGAATGGTCATTCAACAGTATCCCAACTAGCTGCAACAAGGTTATAATCGTTTCATTGAATATCTCCATTCGCAACCAAAACTCCTCAACCTAAGGATATTGACAGGACAAACCTCTTCAATCGCAGAAGCATGTTCTTCCAGCCGCAAATCATGCAACTTCGGAAGAGCGTTTGCAGCACATCTCCGAACATAAACAGCTGGATCTCTAGCACATTTACTCACAGCTGCAAGTGCAAGAGGTGCAATAACATGTAAGCGAATCCCAGCCATTGTACGAAGAGCCCAAGCCCTAACCAATGGATTTGGATCCCCCAAGTCCTTTTGAAAATAGTTGATCGATAGCAATGCTTCATTTGGACGCCTACACAATCAATAGAAGCTAATCATGTAGATGCCCAAACAAAAAGACATTTGCTGAATTGAATTCACATACTTTTCTGCATATTGTAGCAAATACAAGTAAACAAGCTTCTTCACTTCCGATGACTGTGACGCCACATTCTTCACCACCTGCCATTAAAATTCGTCCAAAAATTGTTTCAAAATCGGAGCAACAATTCTAGGATCAAAGGGATCAAACAAAATAAGGCAAACACCTGAGGAAAGAAATTGGAGACATCAAAGCCTTGAGCGATAAGAGCAAGGAGACGCTTAAGAGCTTCACATTTCTCAGATTCGAACTTGCTATCGAGAAGTGGAGCAATGTTGACGTCTTCCGGATCATCATAAAGATGAGCGTCAGTGCCGATCCGAAGCAACCCAGCTGAAGCTTTGCTAAGAGTCTCCGACGTCGAACCAAACTTATTGAACATTCCAACTTTCCGATCAAATCCGATTCCGAAATTCAGAGAGCTGTGTAAGAGAGACAGAGACGATGAGACGAACTTTTCAGAAGAGAAGCCTGTGTTAGGATGATGGAATAGCCTTATCCAGAATCTGGATTGGATAAACCGGATCTTACTAAGTAGATCCTAAACCGGTTTGATAATCCGAATAAAGCCCATCAAGAATGGGCTCTTCAAAACCCTAAACCCATCTTATATTTATACGCTTAAGTCGCCTTCATCTTCATGTGATTTTCTTCTGTATATGCTTTCCCGAAAAATGAATCTGAAATTTTGTTTTGAATGAGTTTTTTTCTGGAATTTAAAATATTTGTGGGCGATGATTAAAAAGAGAGAGGCTTGAGAGGTGAGTGTGAACAAAACTCTCATGGGATGGAGGAAAAAATTCAAATCGAAATCGAAGGAGAAATACATTTAATAAAATGTTTTTTTTTCCCTTTTTTGATTTAGGGTTCTTTCTTTCATACCTTTCCCTCGGTGACGGTCCTTCCAAGTTACACTTGATATGAGCCCTTCTACTATACTTTCGTTTAATTTTTGTGTTGGATGTGGTGTTCTTACTTCTTACAATGATTCCATGAAAATGTCGGTTAATTTGTAATAACAAAACTCACACATGTAATATCAGAATCGACTTCTTTAACAAACAAAAAAAAATATTAGAATCAACTTGGCCATTCTTTGAAGAATTGATAACAAACACAATCGATTAATTTTGAGAGAAACATTATCATATGGCATTGTTATTGGTACGAAGAAGCAAAACTGAATCACCATTTAGATATGAATTTGAGTTAAATGAAGAGCACATAATTAAGTTAAGTATCGATCCATATTGCGACGAAAAGGTTTGCAATTTGACTCAACCATAATCAAATGTATGTTACCCAGTTACATCATTTTGAGATTGTTATATGCTACAATCACCCTATTGGATAATTATGATAAGAAAGAGTTATAGGGAACTTAATTAGAATCCTTGCGTTTTCTTCCGAGTATTGAAGCTCTCTGGAATCTAGGACCACCTGTTCTCCACTTCTTGAAGGCTGTCATCGACAAGTGAGCTGCTTCATACACTTCAAAAAGAACACAGAAACAAAAACAGATTGTTAATTTTGGTACAAGCTTGAGATGGTTAAACACTAAATTCACTACCATTAGAGTTCAAAACATAAAGGCTACTTACAGTTTGTTTCTTCTTTTGTTAAAAACGACAAGTACTTGGAAGCTGTTATGTGAGCTGCTGTGTATACTTTTGTCAGTGCCTCTTTGTATCTGATCTTAAACGCAGTCGATAGCAAGATTCCCAGTGTTCTATCTGTGACCCTGTTTAGACCAAAATCAGTATGATTACCACCACAGAAAATAGCTTTACTTTAATCCAGACACTGTAAAAATTAGACAACTTGCTTGATATATTCATGCTCAATTCACGTTGAAATCTTTCTACAACAGCTATCTTTCCCAAGGATTAGAAATTGACACCAGAAAAACCGACTTTTGTTCTTGAAGCCAAGAGATAAGACAACATCAAAATGAAGGGGAAGTGAGTGGACAGAGTCTTAAAAGGAGGAACTCACAGTGGCTCTATCTTGCATCCAAATTCATAAAAGTATGGACATCGCGATCTAAGATCGACGTATGCAGCATCAGCCTGAACTTCAAGCCTCGTCCTGCACAAAACAAACAAAGCCATGAAAAGACTGCTACAGGGTAAAAGAAGCAACTGCTTAAAGGCCATCTGACCATAGATGCAGAAGAAAAAGAAAGAAAGAGAATCAAATTGACAATGCCAACATTACAGTTAAGCTACAGAATGCTTACTTTTGGTCAAAACAGGGAGGAAGGTTTATGGTAACAGCTTGCCTCAAATGCAACTCATGAGCAAGCCAGAAGGGAAGTTCAACTTTAGAGCCTTGTTCAGCCTGCACCAGAAAATCTCACAAAAATCATATCAGAAAGGAAAATATGATATATCCATTACAAACTTTTGCACTAGGAAGGAGAATACTGACACAATTTGTTTCTGCACTTGGATCAATAGTCACTCCGTTTGCTGTTTTATGGAATAAAACCGGTACAAACTGCAACAAGGTAACAATAGAGATCAGATTTCTTATTTGATAAAGAGAGCCTAAAGCAAAGCTATTGGAGAAGAAAGGTGACCTCTTCCTCTATAAGTATGTCATCAATGTCAAAGTACTTCGCCATCCCCTAACGCTGATTTCACACCACCTTAACCTTCAGATTAAATTCGCGGTCTGCGGGGAGTTAAAAGCAAACCATAAGACACTCAAAAGTCAAAAATCAACCTCTTAATAGATTGTCAGACTCAAATCTGAGATTTCAGATTTACCAAAGCAATTCAAAATCAATTCAAAATAAGAAAGATGAAAGATATAGAGCACAAATCAAACCTTTACTCACAAACGAAGAAGAGATCGAAGAAAAGATTGAAGAAGAAGAAGAGAGCGTTTGAAGAAGAAGAACTGAAGAAGAGAATTTTATATCGAAGAAAAAAAAAACAATTAAGAAAAGAAAAAAGTTTTAGGCCCAGCTCTATTGAAGCCCGAAACCTTTTCACCAAAACCCTATATAAGCCCGAAATTCTCTTCTTGGATTTAATTAGGGCTAGGGCTTTTAAAAACTTTAGCGTACTAGGGCTGGCCCTAAATGTTAAGCCCGTTTTAACATCTCTAATCAACAGAGTTTAGAACAGTAACAAGTCCAAATTCATAAAACCTCTCTCATCTAGTTAACACAAATGGCTGTCAAATCTACTCAATTCAGTAAGTAAATTTGTACAATATAAAGTCCAAATCTATTCAAATTCAATGTCAGTTCCAAGAGAAATAAGGGTTTCCACATTCACAACGGCCGATTTGATTCCAACTAAGCTAGGTAAAGTTTCTACAATAGAACGAGAAAACGATTTAGGTCTACCGCTTGAAATTGACGCAAAAACCTTAGAGAAATGGGAGAAAACTTACACAAGAGTAATGCAAAACACAATTTGTTGAAGAGGGGAATCGGAGAAGCTTGCGTTGGAGGAATCAATTGCAACTTGCGAGAGAGAACTCGGGTCACTCGCTTACCGGATCGAATTGTATAGGATCAGTGGTTCGAGAATCCAAAAAAAAACTATTACTAAGTGGAAAAAAATGGTGGAGAAAAAAAATAATTCTAAAATATATTTTTAGTGTGAAAAATAATTAAATTTAACTTAGTGACTTTTTCGCAAAAAAAAAAACTTAGTGATTTTTTTAAAAAAGTTTTTCATTTCTTATATCAAAGAAAATTCAAACTTGATATAAATTAATTGATTTGAATAACTAAATAAATCGATTTAACTCGATAGAGAAGATCAATTCTAAACTAATTTTAGTTGAATTATATAACTCATGTCAACAATGTCGTAGGATTCATGGTACTACTCAAGAGATACTGTAGTCAATGTCATAAGACACTCATCAGTGTTATAACTTACTCTGAGAAAGATTTGCATAGAAGTAAGATCATTGTGCTACCACTATTGAATATATGAATTAAAGTTAATATTGTAGCCAAATTTTTCATACTAACAGTAAAAAGAAGAGAAGACCGAAGTTTAGTATAAGCAAGTGGTAGATTATATAATGAAATTTGACATTACAAGCAAACCATGCATATGATTTTAAGAGCTGCGGGCTGTTTACAACTTTTATCAACAACCACTTCAGCTTGTCTTTTCTTACACTTCCCAATAATTACCACATAACTCCCCAGCACAGTAAAAAGCTTAATAGAAAAATACAAAGTCAAAGATGTGCAAATCGAAAGTGGAGCTTCTTTTTGTCTCTACCATTTCGAATGTTTCGGTATCATCAATTCACTTTAGACCCTGAAATTCTTTCCGACAAAGGTTTGTCCAAACTGCCAGTTCGAAGGAGCGATGTTCCATGAAGTAGAGGTTCTACGGTCGCTGGATGTAACACGGAAGGAAAGTGACTGACCAACGAGAACAGCATTAGACTGCCAGTTTTGTCCCCAGTTCCTAGTTAAACTCATCCAACCAGTCTTTGAACCTTTCACGCTCGTCCTCACGATGTCTCCTGCTCCGGCCACGTTCGTAATCAGCACCAAGTTGAAGTAACGGTGACCGTTGATCGTGAACCTTATCCCTCCACTCTTCCTACATGCCACCCTATACAAATACCCACATTTCGTAATCTTAGCATTTTGATTCATTGCATTTGTAACTTCTTTTTTATACGAATCATTTCTCAAACATAGGCTATGTATAGGGATGTTTAAGTATACCTGCGGTAAGAGATAGGGACAATGCCGGCACGATACTCAGCGATCTTGAGAAAAACGGGCATGGCGAGGTCGAAATGAGAGCGTGGCGGGTTGCACCAGCCACCATTGTCGCTAGGCTGGGCTAAGTTTGGAGGGCAAAAGTTGGTTGCTGTTACGAAGACAGAAGGACTGCCCGGGTGACACCATTTAGGATCATTGACACATTTGATTTCGAAGCATGCACCGCAGCTTTGGCCACTGTTGAACAACGATGTGCTCAGCGCCGCAGTGTTTGTTCCGTATCCCTGGCTATACAGATTCCCGTATCCACACGCGCCACCTAAATAATAACAACAAAAACAAAAGTAAATGAAAGGAAAAAAAAAACAGAGCTCTCTGTTTTAGAGAGTTGGTATAAATGAGAAATGAAGTATGGTTCTTGAAATATGTGTTTAAGGAGAGTAGACTGACCCATTGTTCCCGAAGCATCGTTTCCACCGTAGAAAGTGGCGTGAGCGGTTTGCCAAGAACCACCTGAAAAGACGCGAGGGATTCCGGCGTCGGTGAAGCTCAAGAGAAGGAAGAGTGGGAATATGGTTAAGAGAATCAATGGATTGATTGCCATTTTGGTAAGTATTTTTAATTGAATTGGAGAAAGCTTGAGAAAATTGTTAGACTAGAAGGCTTAGAGAGGAACTTGAGGATGGTGGAAAATACACTTGTGAAGATCGCTATTTATATTGGTGGAGAGAACTCCAAAGTTAGAGAAATAGATGGTACTGGCCGAAATTAGTATTTTTCTAGACAAATATTTAGAAAGTAGATGGTGAAAATATAGGTTCATAACCGTTTGTGATCTTTTTATTATTATTGCAATGAGATGAGATCTTTAATCCGATTAACTCTGGGATCTATTAATAATACAAATTAACTGGAAAATAGCTTATTGGAAAATGTCCAACCACGTAGAAATTATATCAGTCATACAATATAAACTAACAATTAACTGGTTCGTTCTTGAAACAACGATGATGAAATAGTGAAACAACGTAATAGAGAATTTGAGTTGACATCATATGCATGACTTTGTCTTTCTAGTGTTCATAAAATAATTTCGAAGTTCTACCAAAAATATGCAATAATGTGCATATGTATAAACTCTGCCATGGTTGAACAAAAGTTTATATTTTCGACGCTTTTCAAATTAATACATTGATACTTTAGGTATATACGCCG